AGCAGTAGACAAACATAGCTAAAAGCTAAGATGAGCAGAACAGCAGCTGAAAAACTAAATTCCATGACTCGAAGACTGAGAAGAAACGAGCAGAAAGCCAACAGTTAAATTGATAACAGTAGCTAAAAACTAAAATGAGCAGTAAAGCAGCTAAAAGCCTAAAACAGATGAACGGCTAAACCAAAGCTAAAATTAACAAAATGGCAGATAAATGTCTAAAACCGTTAAATAGTAGCTAAAATTCAACATTAGTAGAAACGATACTTTAAAAGTAAAAATTGGTTTAACAGTAACTAAATGCTACAGTAAGCAAAATGGCAGCTGAAGGACCTAGAACCACTAAACAGTAGCTAAAAGCTAAAACTACCAGAATAGCTGCATAAAGACTAAATCGGCTAAACAGTAGCTTAAACTACCAAAGTAGCAGCTTAAAGACTAAATTGGCTAAACAGTAGCTAAAATGCTAAAATCAGATATGGTAATTTTTTCTAAATATATAAGTTTGTCTAATTTATTAAAGACTTGCAGGGAATGCGGAAACCACCCGTTCAGGACCGAGGTGTAACGAGCCGACCCAAAAGAACCATCACCGGAGGACTCGGAGGACTGGAACGGTGTTTCTGCAGCAGCTTCTGTTGTTGGATGAAGTCTTCTGAAGTTTAATAGTTCACAGCTGAAAACCCTCGACAGGAATCTGACGTTTCTGAACAAGCCGTCCGTCGACAAGCAGATTTATTTATTTATTTATTTATTTATTTATTTTATTAGCTCGTCAGTCCGCTCAGTAATCAAACCCGTTTGGCTGAATAAAGCTAGAAGCAAAAGACTTAACAGAGTCTCATCCTCTTCACTACGTTCCAGCGGTCAGATTAGAGCCTTAATCTGGACCCATTTACTGTCTGATAATCTGGTTTGTCTCTTCAGGGCAGACGAGCTCAAGATCGCAGGCAGAGCCGAAGTCAGCAGCTGTGAGTAAACTTTGTTCAGGTAGCTTGTTCGTTAATGTGAAAAGGTTTCCTGCGAACGCAGGAGAGCAGCGTATTTAGTTTCAGGCGAGTCTTTTTACTCTGATTACTTTAGAGCATCACCCGTCTTTAAAACAAAGTTGTTCTTTTTCAAATCACTTCATCTTTTTTCTTTAGTTATTTTTACTCTGTTTACTTTTAATTAGCCTTTTAGCTAACTGCAAAGCTACTTTTACCTAGCCTTTTGCTACTTTTAGCTTTGAGCTATTTTTGCTACAACTTGTTAGCATTTTACTACTTTTTCCTTTTAGCTAGCCTTTAGCTACTTATAAAATTTAAGTAGCCCTTTGTTACTTTTAACGTGAAGCTAATGTTTAGCTACTTTTAGCATTGTGTTACTACTATTAGCTTTTAAGTAGCAGTTTGCTACTTTTAGTTTTTAGCTAACAGTTCACCCATTTTAGCCAGCAATTTGCTATTTAAAACTTTTAGCTTGCATTGCTTGTTTTTTTGTTACATTTAGCAAATGTTTTTACTACTTTACTGTAGCTTTCAGCAAAGGTTATGCTACTTTTAGTTTTTAGTTATTGTTTTGCCCTTTTTTGTTAGTGTTTTGGCAGTTTTAGCTACCATTTTGCAACTAAACTATTTTGCTTACTTTGCATTCTGATACTTTTAGCAAGCATTTTGCTACTTTTTCATTTAAGCTAGCCTTTAGCTACTTATAAATTTAAGTAGCCTTAGGTACCATTAGGTTGAAGCTACTGTTTAGCTACTTTTAGCATTGCGTTACTATTAGCTTTTATGTAGCATTTTGCTACTTTTATTTTTTAGCCCTCTTTTAACCAACAATTTACAATTTAAACATTTTAGCTTGCTTTGTTTTTTTAGTTAGTGTTTTGCTTTTCTTTACTCTTTAATTAGCGTTTTGGCAGTTTTAGCTACCATTTTGCAACTAAGCTTTTGTGCTAACTTTCACTTTAAATTTAGCTGCTTTTACATTTTAGCTAATGTTTTGGTACGTTTAGTGAGTGTTTTACTGCTTTTATATTTTAGCTAGCATTTTTCTCCTGTTAAATTTTAGCTAGTACTTCCCTTATTTTAGTTTTAACAACTCGGTTTTAGCTTCTTTAATATATTTCCTCACACTTTCATTGCTAAGCTTTCACTCTGCATTTTCTGAGAAATATTTTTTTCAGTTACCTTTGAGTTGAGTAAATCAACATCCGAGTTTTTATTTCTTTTTATTTTTTATCCTCTCACAGGAGGACGGAAAGACTGACCTAAACGCCGCAGTAAAAGATCATGATTACTCTTCGGCCTGTGAGACGGACGACATAGCAAGTCTCACCGTTCAGTTGAAGAACATTAGCTGTTTCAGCTGCTCTAAAAAAGTCCAGGAAGGACAAATGGTTTATCAGCTAAAGAGAGATAACAAGATCTTCTGCTCTGACACTTGTGTCGCTGAGAACTACCCTCGCGTCAAGTTTGACACCAGGAAGTGCTACAACTGCTGCCAGTAAGTCCAGAAAGTTTACCTGTTTGTAGGTTCAATTACTCCAGAGTGTTTGAAACTGTGTAAAAGTATTAATCCAGCCTTCATTTTTAAATATATTTGTAGGTTTTTTAATGTATTTTACGTGTTTTTTAATGTTAACGAACTGCAGCAGCACAGAGAAATGCTGTTTGGTTGGCAGCACAGTTTGAGGAGCACATCTCCCTTTGCATGAGTTTTGAGTATTCGATTGAAAATCCCTAACACAAAAGCTATTTTAATAAAACGTTTTATTAAAATGAAAGCAGGAACAATCTGAGCCAGCTCCTTAATTTCTACCAGATGTGATTTATTTTTTTCTCCACCGTCTCGTCCTGAACCTGGTTTCTCTTCGTCTTTGTCTCCTCAGGTTGATAACTCAGCCTCATAAAATGATCCTGGCTCCGGCAGATGATTCAGGAAGTCTGAAGGAGCTGTGCAGCGAATCGTGTCTCACCTCTGTCACAACCAAGAGATCTTACTCTGAGTGCCGGCTCTGCGCCAAACGCTGCCCTGTATGAAACGATAAGATGTTGCATTCTGCTTTTACTCGTTGCCATGACGATTGTAGCTCGTTGAGCCGATTGTGAGGACTGTGTAACGTGACCCACAACACTGACATCACCTTGCAGTGATCTGGGATAAACTGGATTTTTATGCAGAGACGCAGTGAGAGTGCTGAGTCATGAATGATTGCTGAAATGTGTTAAAGATTAAAGATAAAAGGAGCAGAGCCAAGCTAAAAGGACCAAACTACTAGCTACAAGTAGCAAAGGTCTAGCTAAAAACCAACACTATCAAAGTGGTACTGAACGATTAAAGGAGCAAAAGGCTAACTAGATGCTAAAGGCATTAGAAAGCTAACTAAAAGTTAAAAGTAGCAAAAGACTAACCTAAGGTTAAAGGTGTTTGGCCCACCCAAAAGCTAAGAAAAGCTAAAGGTAGCAAAAGACTAGCAAAGAGCTAAATGTAATAAACGGCTAGCAAAAAGCTACAATTAGCAGATTGGTAGCTAACAGCTACAATTAGCACAAAGCTAGCTAAAAGGTAAAAGTAACAAACGGATAGCTGAAAGCCATTGGTATTTAAAGGTCACCAAAAAGCTAGCAAATAGTTAGCTAGAAGCCAAAAGCAGCAAAAATGCTAGCTAAAAGTAGCAAAAGACTGCCTAATATCAAAACGTAGCAAAAACTAAGAGCTAAAGGTAACATAAGGCTAGCAATAAGCTACAATTAGCAGATTGGTAGCTAACATCTATAAAAAGCACAAAGCTAGCTAAAATGTAAAAGTAACAAAAGGCTAGCTGAAAGCTATTGGTGTGAAATGGTCACCCAAAAGCTAGCAAATGGTTAGCTAGAAACCAAAAGCGGCAAAAATGCTAGCTAAAAGCTAAAAATAGCAAAAGACTAAGAGCTAAATGTAACAAAAGGCTAGCAAAAAGCTGCAATTAGCCGATTGAATACTAACAGCTACAAGTGGAACAAAAGCTAGCTAAAAGGTAAAAGCATCATAACAACAGCCAAAAGCTTAAATAAGCAAAAAGTTAGGTAAAAGCTTCAAGTAACATGAGATTTGTTAAAAGCTAAGATTAACAAAAGGCCAGCTAAAGTTAGCAACTAAAAGCTACAAGTAGCAAAAAAGCTAACTAAAGATAACAGAATGGTAGCTAAAAAGAAAATTTTTGACGAAACAAAAAAAGATTTTCCTGTATTTTTACAGGTAAATATTTGTAAATAAAGATAATTATCATGAAAACATAAATGATGCACAAAGCCGAAGGTGCAGCACCCATTTCCTGAATGAGCCGAACCTTTTGATACCCAAACAATTTTTGCTCTTAATTTACTAATTCGTTCAGCCTTTATTCAATTCGGTTTAATTCAGTTTTAATTTAATTTAATTCAGCTTTTATTGAAATTACAACTGAACTGTTGTCAGCTAAACTGCAGCAACGAGCGAGTTCTCCAACTTTCCATTACGAAGATCAATTTCATCCTTTGAGTCTCTGGCGCCCCCTGCAGGATCAGTGAAGAAGAACGCTGGGGCAAAAAGAAATCTGCTTTGTTTATTGGTTAAATGCTGTTTTTGTCTGTAGTTTTCTTCACGTTTAATTTTGTTTGTAGGTTTTTAAACACTAAAATGAACAAAGCTAGTTTTAAGAAAAAGTAAATATTGACATGAAGGAGAATTCTAGCTAAGGCTGGACCTCGGGTTGAGAAAAAAAACGTTTTCTTCTTCTTCCTTCTTCAGTGTACGTTCTCGGTGACCGTGGACGGCGAGGTTCACAGGTTCTGCAGCCACTCCTGCCTCTCCAAGTTCAGCGAAGAGAACAAGTCCTCCTGGGTCGCCTGTGAGATCTGCAGCGCGCTCTGCTCCAAGAAGCGACTCGTCCTGAAGACGGGCGACGGCGCTACAACCGTCTGCGGGAACGAATGTCTGCTCGAGTTCAAAGAGGTGCAGAAACGTGCGCCTCTGTCGGCGAGTTCTCTGTAAGGACGAGGATGAGTGTCTCCGTGTTTGTCCTGCAGGCAGCGGAGGGCCGCCAGCTGTGCCCCACCTGCCACACCCCCCATCAGCTGTCGGACATGTTGGAGCAGCCGGACGACGAGGGCGCGTTGGATTTCTTCTGCAGCCACAGGTGCACGAAGGTGCACAAAGCCCAGACCCTCCCTGTGCCAGGTACTGAAACTCCTGCTCTGTTTGGGTTATTTACCAAAGTTACAATCAGTCTGGAGACGGACAAAAACGAGCATTAAACAGTTTTTGCTCCACCAAAGTCCATGCTCAGTACTCCTTTTTGCTTTTTGCTCCAATTTTTATTTTATTCATCTTGTTTCTCTTTATGAGCTGTAAAATGGTGAAATGCAGCTTCTGGGTAAGTGTTGAGACTTCAGGTCTCTGGGAGTCTTGTTCCTGAGGAGGGTGGAGCGAACGGATCTGTGCCTCATCTGTAGTGATGGGGGTGTTGCTCCGGTCTGTTGTGGTGAAGAAGGAGCTGAGCTGAATGGCACAGCTCTGGATTTACAGGTTCGTTTAGGTTCCAGCTAGAACTGGTCGACTCGCCTGCGTTAATGATCTGAATCAGGACTCATGAGTCCGAGGTCTCAGTTCACCCGGATCTTACTTGGTCTCAGGCAGACCTGTGAAGTCCTCGAGTTGGCAGAGTCGCTGGAAAAACAGCTGAATCCTCAGAAACATTACACACAAAACACATTTAACAAAAGTTACCATTTTGCTTAACTTTATTAGATTTTAGATTATTTTTTCTGACGTTTGTTCGTTTATTGGAGTGAAATGATAAAATAAACATCTGACACTCTGAGTAATGCTAACGCTAACATCCACCAACAAAGACTGAGTGACTCCAGCGGACCGGATCACTTCAGGGAGTGACTCACATGAACCCTAGTCCAGAAAGTGAACCACATTTACCAGCTGGTCCTCCAGCCCTCAGCTGTGGTCTGGAGGACCAGGATCAGATCCAGGGTTCAAGCAGCTGAAGGGAGCTTCCTGTCGGGGCCGGGTGGACTTCATTAACGTGTTTGGGACGGAGCTCACATTTATAGTCCCTGGGCAGGTAAAACCAGGAAATATCAGATGTTTCTGTTTGTGCTGAGAACAATGTGAACATCTGGGTGGGCCAGCAACATCTGCATGTCTCAGTTCCAAGCCGAAGAATTCTCTCAGCCGAATAATTTCAGGGTGTTTCTGCTCGTATTTCATGTTTGTTTCGTCTTCTAGAGACGTTTTTTGAAACCTTGTTATTGAATCTGGACGTTTGTTTTGTCATAAAAAGACAACTTTTCTACGTTTTGATGTAAAAAACGTTTGTTCTTTTTAAAAATAGTTTTTTTGTAATTTCAGCTGATTGATTGAAAGTTGTGGTAAATTTTGAATTTTTATTTTTTAACACGTTCAAAATAATTTTCATTTCAAAATTATTCACGTACAGATCAATCTGTCAACTGTCACGTCTGAAGTTATTTATTTGTTTTATTCTAGATTTTAATATTTTATTCATTTTGGTTTGGTGAATATTAAAGTAACAAAGACATAATTAAAAATAATATCATGTTTGCCCAACAGTATCCAGTGGGTTGTTCCTGCCCGGCAGCGCCGCTGAGATCTTTCTGTTCTTTAGATGTTTTTAAACAGATGTTGGTCCTAAAATTAATAAATATTTATGATTATTATTGTTTCTCAGTGAAGACGAGTCCTTCAGCTGACGAGGACGACGTTAAAGAAGTGAAGCCGCTGCTGCTGAGTTTACCTCATGTGAGTAATTTAGCTTCTTTAGGAAGCTGCTGCAGAAACAGGAAATGAAGAACAAAATATTTAATGTTCGCAGAACAAATTTGTTCACAATTCAACCGAGAGGTTATACTTTTATGAAAATTATTTACCGACTCGTTGAAGTAGCTCATCTGATCCTGATTTACGTTTTTTGTTCTTCTGAAAGATAAAAGAGGAGCCCATCGATGAGTTCACTCAGGATCGCTCCGAGTCCGTTTCCTCCTGGGACATCAAGCAGGAACCAGACGAGCCGAAGGTCGGCCACTTCACAGTTTTATTTGTTACAGCTTTTACTCAATCAGTGTGCTTTAGATTAAAATACAATAACAAGAAGTCTGACTGACAGAATACTGGCTTTATTCTAATTAAATTAATTAGCTAATTTTAGCTTTTAGCTTCTAGTTAGCCCTTTATTACATTTAATTAGCCTTTAGCTACTGTCAGCTTCTCTTTAGCCCTTTATTACATTTAATTAGCCTTTAGCTACTGTCAGCTTCTAGTTAGCCATTTATTACATTTAATTAGCCTTTAGCTACTTTCAGCTTCTAGTTAGCCATTTATTACAGTTAATTGGCCTTTAGCTACTGTCAGCTTCTAGTTAGCCCTTTATTACATTTAAT